GTGTGGCTGGTGGGTGCAAGGTCACAAGGTGCTGGGACAGAACATTAGAATGAAATGCCATCGGAAACGGATAGGGAGAAGAACAGACAAAAGAAAACAAGCAAAAGATCATAAGTATTCAGTATCAATCAGGGACGGCACAATGCGTGGGCGTCCAGGAGACGGCATAGCCAGTAGAAATGTGCACAAAGACATGATAATGGCACAACGCGTCACACAAAGGACTAATCGATGGGAAGGGAAAATTCACTATGGATGCTACAATACGGGTGGTGTAACCGGAAGAGGAGTGGGAAGTAGACGAAAATGCGAGTATACTAATATAAACCCTAGAAAAGGGTAGAGGTACATGAAGGGAGAAACACAAAGTGAGCGTAGCGGGCTATGGGATCATTAACCAGTTGCAATGAATGCATAAACAGCTGCTGCGACTCATGAGACAGCCGAACAAAAAGGATAAACTCAGCATGACTGAGACGCAAGATAATTTGGAAGGGCCCGCGCGACTGGAGGAACCGAGGTAGGTGACCAAATGGGATGGAAATTGCACAGCACCGGTTTGGGGATCGGCACATTGAAAGTGTACGCGGGGATGTCGGTGGGAGCACGAGGTGAATGCTCAGATCACAGTTTGTGAGGNGTGGTCGTGCAATGAGACACGGTCAGCTGTGTCAGTGCATCGAGGTATAAGTTCGCAGTACCGGTAGCAGTATTGTGTGCACGGGAGAGATGTATCGGAATAATACTTCGTACCCGAACCACTGCACTGATTATGGTGGGTCGGAAACCCTTGCAACAAGACATCTCAAAGAAGAAAATACAGAACAGACGCAAAGTTACGACAAGCAAGTGGCTGACGCTATTTCGAAGTGAGCAAGGGCATGTGGGGTGAACCCGTGGCGCACAGTTGTGGAGTACAGTCATGGAGTGGAAACAGAATTGAAAGCTGAGCCAAGTGTATAGGGCGAATGGAGGTTTGAGGGCACCATGGAGGCGGATGGGATTAAAAACTACAACAGAGATACTGAAAGACGAGGAAGGAAAATCGACAAACGCCACACATGGAGCAAACTTGGGAAGCAGTGAATGCGGACTGATTGGCAATAATACGATCAGACAGAGGAGGCACATTGAAAAAATGAGCGAAAGGCAATGATACGCATGGGGGAGTGTGGCGGAAGAATAATCGGTATAATGGAATCATCGAGACAATGAAACTGGATGCAAGACAGACAGGGTCACTTTAGGACGTAGGTTTCCATGGGAGTGAAAGGTACAATCACAAATAAGGCAGTCTGACTAGTGCAGAGGCACACATCAGCAAGGAATAGATGAGTCGTCGTCGTGATTTGACGGACACATGCTGGTAACCGAAATCATGAGAAAAACTCAGTCTTGTTTCGGAGGAGTATGGGAGGGAATTGGTCCACATGGAACCCACTTAGAAATAAGGACGGAGATGGTGGTACACCACAAAAGCACGAGCATAGTTGAACGTGGAAAAATGACATAAGGGAAATGAATGGATAGGTATTTCGGTAAGTGATGGGATATGCGCCTCGCCTTCGCATCTTACGCCCACACACGTGTGCAATGCCTTCGCACAAAATCGACTCTGGTGCCGGATTGGGGAACGGAACATATCCATGCAAATGCAGAAGGCACACACATTGTAACACTCTTAAAAGCATCAGGCGCTGATGATGGGATGGAAGACGGAGTTGTAGGAAACTTAGGGGACAACCACAGCACACGTGAGCATTAGGCTAGATGAGGTGGGACCCGGGGCGGGGCGGGGTTAGGGAAGAACGAGTATGGTAATCTAATGAATTCCGGATACCATAACACCGAGGCGGGTATTGTGAGTGCTTGGTTTCCTGGAATTGATTGGGACTGTGTTGAATCCGGAAGCGGATGGTGGGTCTGACGGTACCCATTTGGAACCACTAGGAGCAGTTCCGGTGGGCAGACTACCCATTTCACCCAATGGACTGAACTGACCAGATGTGCGGTTTTCGGGGCGAAGACGAACGTTCTGTGGAAAAGAAATTCAAGTATGACTTGATCGAACTGTTATGTCACGAAGTTGTTCATCTTATATAAACGCCTTCGGAACAGCAAAAAATCGGTAAAAAAGGTGAAGCTCGTGGGAATGACACAAAGGACAGACTATGTTATTTGATAATAGCATTGCTCTAGTGCTATTTAATTAGGGACATTGAATTAGCTGATGCCAGTGCAGCCCGTGTGGACTACCTAGATTGAATTAGACGAAAATGGATAGGCGTTGACCCGTTTCGTTGATCATAAATGTCAAGGGTATAAAATCAAGGACAAACAGTCACCGGCGTCCCCATCAGTGACTCTGACACAATGATTTCTTTATTACACACACTCGTGTGATAAATGCCAGACGATGGAAAACCGCAGTCGCGAGGACCTGTTCGTAACCGATGGAAACCAGTAACCTAAACCGCGGGATTTGGAATGGCGGATCACACGAGACGTTACTAGATTAGGTGTGGTCCTGAGCCGGACGACGATAAAGACCAAGGTTGGTTTGCGGGGTTAGAACATGGGATCTTAGGGACCAAAGCACAGCAGTGAATTAAGCGCCACCACCAAAAAAGGTAGCACACGCGAGAATCAGTGAACACTCATGAGCCACCAGATTGGAGGTAAATGCTTACCAACTGTTGAAGATGAGTTAATGCCTCCGGTTCGGAAATCGCCTCGACGGTGAAGCGATCGGCTAGATTGTACATCAGGCGCAAAGAAAGCTCAGTGGATTGAATTCGCACCAGGACCAAGCCAGTGAACGAGTTGAGCAAGTGGAAGTTAGTGAGTCCAAACTGTGATAGAAGCATGTGCAATTGGTTTAGGTCCATATTACCCTGGTGGTGTCCCGGAGCCGAGTGAATTAAAAGCCACTGACCGGAGTTTTGAGATCCTGGTTGTTGATTTTGTGACGGCGGTTGTGGTTGTTGTTGTGGCTCTGTTTTATTGCCGGTCACAGAACCGTCTAGATTTGAGGAAAATGCACGCGGCCCAAGTTGCCAGTTTGAAAGGTTACCCAAACCCGAACGCACATTGTTTACATTTGTATTGAGCGCATTGCCGTTTGAAGACCAACCACCCGTCCAATTTTGATTAGTATTGTTGTTGGGAGATTCACTCGTGCCCGCGGCATTGCGTGTTCCGGTAATTGGTTTTGGACCTGAAAGGTCAGAAAGGGGAGTTGTTATTTACGACCCAACAGCTAAAAAAGTGATTAAACGTTTGGTTGATATTAATGGATAGATCATTGCCCGAATTCGATGAACAATTTAACGACCTTCAAAATCAACAAATGACAACATACCGACGGAATCCTGAAACATGACTTTATCTTGGTGTTCTGTGTTTGCTTTCGTGTGTGGTGTCCAAGTGCCAATTGTTGGGAAGTCAGAATCGGCGGTTTCGGGACCTTCAAGAACGGGGCAAAGAAAACCAGACAAATGTGAACTGAAACAGAAAGAATTCAAGGAAAAACAAGGCACCCATCTTCAAGTAAGATTATCGGCAAACGTCGTAAAAACGTTAATAATTGAGCCTGAGATTCTCCGAAGAGCCAGAGGTTTGATTTCAGTGATGGAAAGTCGGTCACTCATTGTTTTAAGTTTCAGTTTGCACAACCATTAAGCATGCACTTCCGTGCGCTGTCTTTTGGCTGCCCATTTAGATGAGCAGTAGGAGAGAGACAAGAAAGTTGAAAGTAGAGCCGAAGAGAAAATGGAAAATTTCAGTGGACTGAAGTTGCAAAGAAATTGAAGGGTTGCTCGAACGACACTGTTTACGACACAGCTTTATCAAGCAGTGTCTCTAACCACTGGCATACTTCACGCTTGTACCGTATCTCAACCTCGGCTTCTTCTACATCTACTGTTTGTTACGCATTGGTTTAAAGTGGCATAACTAAATGCCCACGTAGTTGCGTACAGCATAGGCTAGAAGATTTCTACTCATTGACTAGATAGGGGTTAGGCAGCCGAATATTTGCTCCTTGGGAGGGATAAGTTGGCTTGGTAGAATTTAGGTGAGACATTCTTGATATCATGCGGCTTATATTTGGGGGGTGCACCGGTCTTCACACAACCAAGCGGAAATTGCAAGGTGGTAATGGGTTGGTGCTTGGCTGTCAGTGATCCTTTTAGGAGTTTATTCGCACTGTTCGACTGGTGTGGATTCAGCTCAGGGATCCTATTGGTTGGATAGGTCTTTTTTATGGCCGTGGGAGCGAAACAGACCTCTTTCGTGCACTTAGGAGTAGCAGCCTTGGAATATAGCACGCCATCTCCCGAGGATTTAAGGCCCCATTATCTCGAATCTGGCTTGGTCTACCTGCAGAGCGGATGACGGGTGGAGGTGTTGCCACTGATGTATACTTCAAAATTTCGGCGTCACCAATGATAAACCAAAGTTGACATCTAGAGACCACAGTACACTAGTTCATTACTATTAAATACTCGTCTATTGACATTATCGATCCCAGTCAAAGAAATCTCCGCCGCAATTAGCAGATGAATCTCGTCTTTTAAACAGATTATCACAACGTTTTTTGATTGTTTTTGTACTTTATTTTCCGAAATTGCACTTCGTTACGACATAATTCTATCTATTACGAGCTTCAAATTCAAACGCATTACAAACAAGGCACTGAACCTTTAAGTGTTCTCAACACACCTTATTGACAACATACCTCAACAGATCCGAATCCAGCAACAGTTTTGGAACTTAATTCCTAGGATGGAATCCCAATAAACTGACGAGAAAATACGTTTTTCGTAATGCGTTTCGGCTATACATTGTATCTGCCTTACAGTCGGTTAAACGGCATCGACAATCTGAGCCTCGGAACCTGCGATGGTGAAGTACTTAAGGAAATATGGTAACTTTGCGACCGTGGAACTGCCAATCATTAAACCAGATCGAAGACAATCCACCATTATCTGTGGGGTACGGTTAATTTGAACGGGTTGGTTTCATAACGCAGTAAATCAGGGAGGTAGCATAAAAGGACTATCATACACGCACCTCCTCAGTGATGGATAACCAGATAAAATAAAACCAAAGTAACATACTTCCAAGTCGTCCCGGTTTGAGCTGCATTTCCATGAGCTGTTGAACTAGCTGATCCTGGGGAACTCGGGTTTGGTTAGCAATTGATACACCCTCCACCGGGTTGTTTGCCGATTGTCCCCGAATCGCACTCACTGATGAATCTTGAGCAGAGGCCAGGTTAAGTTGGGCCATCTTGGCTCGTAACTGTGCATCGATCTGCTGCAACTGACTTTGCAGCTCCGCGACCATTTCTGCGCACTGAGGCTGAGAACTCATTGTCGGATTGTTTTTGTACATGCACACTTGAAGTTCGATAGTCTGTGGTGATAAAACACAAGACAGAAATAACAAGCACGCCTGGCACAGAGACACATTTAACACAACTCAGAAGCTTGACTGAGATCCATTTCCATGCATTATTTATAGCGTGAGATATATTCGTGAGCAATCAGTATTCTTGACATCAATGAAACCCAATCAACCCAAGAAGGAATATAGCCGGATTCAAATGATGCATACCACTAGCAAAACTAGTGTAACTGCATTTCGCTGGATGGTGAGTAATACCGACTATGCAACTCAGTTTGGCTTCAAGTCTGTTCCACTGTGATACTGCCTACTTCACTGATAAAACTCCAAGGTGGAACTTTCGCACACAACCCTTCCATCACCTCTGGCCATGTTCGGCAAGTGATAAATATTCGTATAGTCTTAAGGAGGCGATGGGTGGTAACAGGCCCTGGTTACAATTAAGAACTGATGTCCAGACCTGATGTCAGAACATGGACTATTTTTGACGTCAGACGATATACCGTTCGCCTACTGTAAATAACAGAAGCGACATCCCTGGAGTCTGAGTGGTACATCACTCCAGTTTTCATAAATAAATGAAAGGCTAAAATAACCATTTTATGATAAGAGATCTCAGCTTTGGAACATGGGACAACAGAGTCGGAGTAAAATCGAAGTCTACCAATAAAGATTGGATGTGTGATATATTTTTAGTCCTAATTTGTCAGTTGAGGTGACTTAATTGCCACCACAAGGGAAAGTACAGAAAGTTAAAAGGTCGTTTGTGGCTGTAGGTTGGTGAAGAATCTTCATCAAATTAACGCGAGACTAATCAAACGTAGGAATTTTAGTGCTTCTTACTCAATACTACTATGTACAAAACAGTAGGAATACAGACCATAGTTACGAAAACTGACTTATTGTAATAGACAATCTGTTATAGAACCTGGAGTGGCATAAAAACATAAGGCCCTCTACGATATGATATTAAAACGGATGACAGCGAAACTGTCTACCTCCAATTTGGGTGGTGGTGGCTTAGTTCGAACCTGAAATTTTAAGGCTTAAAGTACACCAGTGATAGCGACTAAGAACAACTGACCACCCCCTAGCAGTACGAAAGTTAGTACTTTAAGACAATCAAGTGAAACGAAGAACTGAAGGCAATCTACACTCAAGTATATACGTTTGGTATAACCAATGTGATGGAAAAAACAACGATGGCATATACATGTGGCGGAGAACTACAAGCAAATTACTTACTCGGCGCTTTTTCTGAAGTTCTTGAATGGCTGAGAATATCGCAGCCTGGCGCGCATGACGTTTGCTCTGAGTGGCCGGTCCTCCTCCATTATGTAAATTTGGAGGAGTGTTATTTGGAAAGGTAGCGTGATTGCTACCGGTTCGGTTCTGACTAGGAGCAAACGAATTGGTCGGATTAGCCGCAATCGGTTGATTCATGCCAGGGGCATGAGCTGAGAGTAAATTGGAAGCATTTAGTAACGGAGGCGGGGGTTGGCCCAACAAAGAGTTTCCTGCGGATACTCCGGCGCTTGTTGCATTCCCCAGTGGGCCCGCCAGTGGGGTTGGAACCGACAGATTTAAAGCGGACCGTACCTGAATGAATAGAGGTGAGTTTACCAGTGGGTTGCTAGGCTGTTTCGTCCAGCCACGCAGGTTATTACTAAATGTTGAAACTACTGAAGTTTGTCATATAAAGCCTACGAGACAAGAGCACAAAAATGCATTATGTTCAACTATCCGCAATTTCTGCAACAAATTTTTTCCCAGGGGTTCTCTTCAGCACTTCAACCCTATCCTTTGCTAGTATTGGTGTCGTTGCGTCGGCACTAATCTTGCTCGCAAGCTGGTGATATGTACAATATCATGACAAAAACAGAACACGATGATGAAAAAGATCAATAGATTAAGGCCGCTAGCTGCAGTCTATGAAATCCCGGGTGATTATGAGAAAGTATTTATGGTCTGAACAGTCACAATGAGTCCAACATTATAGGTAACTGATGCAAACTGTGCTGCCAGCTACGCAGTCCTAATTTCACACCCTGAATTGCGGTCTCGTAGCTCAGCTGATGGTGAGGGCTGCACAAAAATAGTTTATTCATGCGAGAGTTCACATCCCCCAGACTACTGATCTCATAACTAAAATAGATAATTCGCCTTCTATTATCTGGTAAAGCATCAATCAAACAGTATCTTTTACACATTCCTACTCCATTTAGTCGTGATCATCTACTTCTCGATGTGGCACGTTTACATTTTTGTTTTTACGATAGCGGTCGCAATTAGATGCACTTACGGTGTTATTCGTAACTTACAGAACTTGGCATACTATATTGAAGGGTTCGGTCATGTAAAATGATAACTTAGATGAATAGAACACCCCTCGATATCAGTGCACAGTTGTTTTATTTAATATGCAGGCACTATGCTTTTATTCAGACCGATGTAAAATATAATATGCCACACAGAACAATGTTTAAGTAAATTTGTGTTGCAGTAACAGATAACCAGGATGCAAATGTTGTAGTCCATTGAACAAATGAAGCGAAAAATTTAAGTGCAGTAGATCACCATTTGTGTTGCAAATCAGTTCTGTGGATTTTACGTTACAGTATTGTGTATTTTTAAAACAATCCGAAGTATATCAACGTGGCTCAAATCGATCTCGCAATTCCTATCACTCCAGAGGCTTACTAGAGTTGATTGAATGCTCAAAAATTGCATAAAAGTAAACCAACCTGTTGCGTTAATTGTTGGCGTATCAGTTGAGGGTTCGGGTGAGGAGATAATGACATCAACTGGGTGCTAGCACTGGTGACACTAGGTCCGATCAACTTGTTGCGATTGAAATTATTGGAGTTGGGAATCTGGACACCGCCACCAACTAGCGATCCAGCTGATCCGGGGAAAGTGCTATTACCGGAAAACTGGGACAGATTTCCAGCAGCGCCATGGAAGTTGCTCTTCAAAGGTTGGTTCATCACACCAAATGAGCGAGAGGGATTGTATCGCTCGCGAAGCTCATGCAGTGCCCGCTCAGGTTCCATATTGCTATCGATAAGTGCTGCCTGTACGTCTTCTTTTTTGAAGCCCTGACTCATAAGATACTTTACCAAATCGGCACGGTACGTGTTACTGAAGGGATGAATCAGCATGCGATCCTGAAAAGGGCACAAATTGCATTGCGGATCAAAAACTGGTCATACAATTCAAGGGAATCTAGATGGGAATTCACATGAGTTAATCAAAATAAGAATGCGGTGTTGATTTGGAACAAAACTGCAAAGCGGTTTTTGGGATTTCGGAAACTCTGAACATGGTTGTGGGCATGACGAAACTTGTTACATGAGGATAACCATAGGATGTTTTGAAAACAATCTAATTCATGTTTACATAATGCACACCCCAGGATACTGTCGAAACTTACATTGTTGGAAGGATTGCATGTAGATATCGGTAACTGCCGTCGTAAATCATCTGAGTTTGGTGGACCGAACGGGGGTACAGAGAAGTTAGAGCTGCCAGTCGATATTGCAGTACTCCATTGAACACCAGTGTTGTTTCCAGGTACAGGATCCCACGAATTGCAATTTCCACTGGCTTCAAAGTTTGATGAATTGGAGAACATACAAAAGTTGCTCTCGGAGTTCCAGTTACCTTCATCGATTGTATTATGTGTGGCGATGGTAGTGTTTCGCGTTCCACCAAGCACAGGACGACCAGGAACACTAGCTGGCGTTGTCCCTCCGTTGTTCCACACTTCTGTAAGTAAGCATGGTAGTCTTTGAGGGGTCATCTCCACAATGGTGGTCACTTAACTTATTTATATGAAGGATGCGAACAGGTTTTGCGTGTGAACTTTCTTTGGCAAAAGAAACCATTGTACTTTTGTTTAAAAGTACGAAGGAAAATAGATGCAGAATTCAATGAAGGTACTAATACAGTCCAGTCTCTTCAGTGAAGCAAAACATTTCAAAAACAATCTTAGGCATTGTGAATGAACCGATCGATCAGAGAACGTGTGAGGTATTCATGTGTGAAGAATGAGTGGAAGGCAATCTTGGCGACTGCCTTGTGAGTGCTGGGATGTTTACATGAAACAGAATGAATACGATAAACAAGGTGGTTATTTGCACATTTCATTCAACACACTGATGAACAAATGGCAATGCGGAACACTTGCAGACCAGTGTACATAGATAAGATAGGACGATATCTTAAGACCGATGGAGCACAGTAGCACAGGTGAGACATGGATTTTGTCTGCTACATATTGCCATTCCGGAATGACAAATGTTTACATTACCACCTCGTTAGCTTTCTTGATTATTTCGATACATGACTATTTTTGATTAACTGCAATGCACTGTCCACTAGCGGATTAAAACCAAATTCATATTTTAACAGATGTTACAATGCTACGAGCAGTACGACTGGTACGCTGAGTCGCGACGTACTTCACTAGAGAATGGTGACGAATGATCATAAAGTTTCGTGGGATTTGGGTAAACGAGATAGCCCAAGAGCTGTGGGTTTTATTTTTAGGGCGCATCTCCGATCTTTGAGCAATCATGCGAAAACTGGGTTAGTGTATGGTTGTCGGTGGCATTTTCAAGAGCTTATTCGCGCCTTTCGACTGGTGTGGATTCAGCTCAGGGAGTCATACATTCGTACTGGTTGGAAAGATTTCTTTTATGGCCGTGCGAGCGCAATTACGGGTAGCTTTTTCATTACACAGATGTGTTATGAACGGTAGACGGGGCGGACCGAACGGTCATGAAGATCTGCTGTTAAGGGATGAAAATCGGTAACTTGACCCCTAGGGCTTGGAGCGTCGAACAACATGGGGTCCCGCTGAGTTAGGTGTGGTTTTGAACCGGACGACAACAAAACTGCATACATGTAGCAAGTGCAAGAGGTGTTCCAGATAGTTCAGGAATCATCATCATTACCATCGCACAGAGAGATCCTGTGAACTGAACTTCGATTACCTCTGCCAAGCACACAATGTACACAAAGTGAGAAAACAAGATCTATAGAGACTGAGCCTAATTGGAGGGGGCAAAAGAAGTGAACCTCTATGATTAACACAGAATGAACTACTAAATTGTGAGTACATTTTTTTAAACATCCTGACCTAATAAGAAATGACAAGAATGTCAATATCGGCGGTTCACTGACATACCCTTCAGTTCCTCCAACCAACTAGTTGCAGTCTTTCGGACCCCAAGACGAGAGAAGCCTACCATACCTAAACGCCCTGTGCGTTTCCTCGTACCTCGTCTCTACGTCAGATGTTAACCTCCAAATGATTTCCTACAACCTCGAGCCGCAACTACGAATAAGGCGCGGCGGACGACAGCTGGGCATGCGCAATACACGTCCTAACCAATTCGAAGTTATAACTAATCATTACTGCATACTCTATAATTTGCCTCAGAGTTGCTTACACGCTCGATCCAGTCCTTGCTCTTGATTGTGGAGACTGTCCACTGTATCGCATTGATCGGTATGCGACAGCCGCTGATACTGCGTATTCGATGAGTCTTTGACAATAATTTGATGCAGAAGTTTCTTCGTGGAACTTTTTCTTCTTTTTGTAGAGATTACTGTACCACGATTTGTTTGGCAAATGGTCTACCCTCAGACGTGTGATATATATATATATATGTAGTATCAAGCTTGGATTAGCCCATTCGATTGTTCAGAGGCACCAGGCACTCTTGATGGTATATATATATTCCATTAGCTATTGTGGTTCATCCGTTTCGCGAGCTTTGATAATGCTTTCCTTTAGCTGACGTTGCAGACGCCATCAGTTCCTATGTTGATCCTGGCGGATTGGGATCTTCAGCCTTTGTTCCTTCAGGATTACTGACTCCTGAGATGCACCGTTCTCGATGAAATTCCCGTTCGGCCCCACAAGCAAAGTTAGCTACCAAATGCATTGCACACTTAATTTGATCCCACTATTCATCTAACCCACTATCTCGCGTGACTCCTAGCTCGTGCTCAAGCTTCTCATAACGTGCACAAACAGATGGATCGCGCAGGCGATTTCTGCGGATGACTGATGAGTCGAAGCGTGAGGCCCATCGGAACTAGTGAGCGATCAGACTTAACGTTGTTCAATAGGATATAATTCTTTTTATTGAACCATACCAACGGCAGCATATTGCTATGGGGTCAATTTGAGTCCACTTGCTCGTTGAACTAGAGCTGAACAATATTTCCGTCCCACGAGAGCTGTGCCGAAAGTTGGTGCCACATAAGAACGACCTATGCATGATCTGTACAGAACTGAAATAGTCTATCGCCGCTGTCAGTTTACTGTGCTGGTAGGGCGAAGCGCCATTCTAGACAGGCCTCGGATGCGCTGTTTTCCAACCAACGAGTTAAAATCACCTGCCAGCACTGTAATATCAAAACTGCATCTCGGTGAGTTTGTTATAAAATACTTACTTCTTGACTTTAGGGCTGCAGTTGGTTGTATGCGTATGCAGAAACGGTTATGAAACACCTTTTGGTGTTGCTTCACTTTTAAACGCCAACTGAACCTCGGAGCCTCGTTGTGCACGAAAGACTACTGACGGGTATCTAATCAATCAGTGCGGCCTCACCTTCATCGTTTAGTACGATTACCACTTCACACTATCGCAGTGGGCGAGCTTCATCGTCTCCCGGTGTGCGAAGGAAATACTTCGTTGACAAATCCGGGGCACTCAGGTGGTTTACACTAGGCCTCTCCGAAAGCCTCAGTATCGTCAGGGGTGGGTGTCTGGGATGGAAATTGGTCGCCATTCCCTTACACCTCGCGAAATGCTCCTATATAACAAAGCCTCTCAAATAGCCTCTGCTGAGGAAGCCCAACTCACTGCCTTCCCGTGGCGGAGGAGTTTTCCCACCAAATTGAGAGGACGAAAAACCGACATCCGGGTTGGTGAACCATTAGTAGTTCACCTAGGGGAGTTGGCTAAAACCCCTGATTCCAAACCAAACAAGATGAGGCGTAAGTACCATTCGCATACCTTCCTGTTCGCGGCAGTGATCGCCGGTTCAATTGGACACCTTGGACGTTTGACCCCCTCCAAAGGGCGTATGATCCAGTGAACTGGACACCGGCCCCCAATGAACTGCAGACTCTGAGCTCCGTCCTGGTGTCTTGCAGGTCTGGCTCTCTAGTCAAAGGCTTCGAGTGGCGACCCCGAGGATATCCTCCTCCCTCGGCCAGGGTAACCGGGAAGTAACGTGCCCACACAACCGATGAACACATTCTTCAGGTTTCTTTTTGTTCATATGTTGTGGCACATTTTCCAGTTCTCTGTAATTGGTTACGTGTTGAAATAATAATGATAATGTATCTACGATAAGCAACAGCTATCCATTTCCAAAGAATCCATTGTACACACAAGACAGGCCTATCGCATCCGGTGCAGAGTCTTCACGCTGAAGGCCCCCTAATATTCATAGGTTGATCAGGCTACAGACTATGTAAATTATTTAGTGGTAAACTGCTTACTATTCGACAAAGCTCTTTGGGGGGGGGAGAGAGAGAAAATAAGTTGTTTGACGGAATGGGAAGAGTCGGAGGGGGCAAAGGGAGAGGATGGGGTATACAAGACAAAGAGTTAAAGAAAGGTTGGGACTTCTGAGTAGTAACCTACTTATCACTACCCACCGGTCGACGAAATGCGTAACGCGGTCCTGGTCATACTCTCGACGACTGATGCAGTATGGAACTAGTCAGTGGTTCATAGTTTAACTTATTGGCTTTCTCTGAGAAACTTTGTTCAATAGATAGAACGACCTTAGTGGTGGCCCATATTCACCGCGGGAGAACGCCCGTCAGGCCCAGTTATGGTTCCGAAACACGGTCGCTGATAATTGGTTGTGTTCGCAAGTTAGAAGTTTTTGGACACAAAGTACGACGGCAAGACCGAATTTTCAGCAGCATGGTCAGGTAATGCTGCTTGAAGACGGAGAATTCATCATGGCTCCTCCAAGGTCGCCACTTTCTCTAGTTTAGTCATATCCTCCAGCGACCAAAAAGTGAACTTTCAGGAAGCAACTTAAACTCATGTGGAACGCGATCGAGTTTTGGTCAACAATGTCTACAACACGCACTAACGGAGCTGACCCAGCTGCCAATCGCCGCTGATGGGCAGTTGCTGTTACACATTTCTTTGGAGGCGACTCATACCCAAACAGACATTTGTTGTGTAAACGTAAAAAGTACTGTTAAATCGAAAGTTTTCAGTTTTTACAACCATTAACCATGCACTTCCGTGCGCCGGTTTTGGTTGCCCATTTGGATAAAAGAGCGAAATGAAGATTGGAATGTCGAAGCAAATTCAAGCGGAAGATGGGGAATACATATAGAGTGGTGTTAGGA